ATGGAAAAACCGCCAGTGGCGGCGTAGCGTGGGTTGGCACCCAAGGCGGTTTTCTATCAAGCACCCCCCAGAATAAAACAAAAAATGCTAAACATGCATATGGTACCTTATTTTGCTAAAGTATTCTATTAAAATATCAAAATTTCAAAAAGGACTAGAAGTCCTTTTCGATAGATAAATTGGAAAGATTGGTTAGTCGCGACCTTAAGGTTTTGAAAAGCTTCTTTCACATGAAGGTACCGAAACACACAGACTAACAGATTCAGAACAGCTTTCGGTTTATACAAAGATACTTTGTGAGAACAGCCCCGTTTTACGAATCTGAGAAGCTCCGATGAAGTACATTGAACCGCTTCTTGGGAAGAAATACTGGCGGCTTCCAGGTGGCGCCTCATTCGTAAAATTTCTAAAATTATGTCTCCTGCAGAAAATTCATCGTAGATTTTTGTCAGATATGGAACTATTACACGAAGATCTTCTTCTGGTGACGTTAGCAGAGTGTAAGGCTGAACAACAGTAAATGTTACGAGAATATCATCCTTTGCCCTGTGACGATGGTCTACTTCTTCGTAAAATGTGTCAAGACATTCTAATATACCTTTCTGCAGCTTTTCTGGCAATGTTAGTCTAGCATATCGGGCCATTTCTCCTGGTAAACGTTTTCGAAATCTCTTTCTTCCTCTTTTTCCTTTAATCGAAATTTCTAAGCCCTCAAATCTTTTCGTTCCGTAGAAGATAGTTTTTTCAACTAGTATTTTAATATTATGTTAGCTTTGTAGAAAAAGTATTAGGGTATGATTTTTATCACACACTCTTCCAGTGCTAGTCTAGATATTTGTATTTACTTTTTGCGTCTGATTAGCTTCTTTTAGGATTTTACACCAAAAGGAAAGATAGCATAAAAATACTGAAGTCACACAAAGCTGGTAAGAGAGTAGATGCTGCTTCTCTTGTATCGACGTTTTCTTTGCTACTTGCTGGGATGACATTTATCTTCGAGTGTTGATAGAAGTTTCTCAAAATTATTTTACAGTGGTCTAACAGCGTCGTGATGAGCACTCCCTCTTATCTCTTAGTCTTTTGATGGATACGCCTACACTTTTCATTAAAATTTCCCATCAATTTGTGGATGATGAAAAGAACGTGTCAACTTTTTCTATTGTTCCGAAAATAGTTAAACTTGAATTAACGCTCACAAATGACTGCACTCCACATAGATTTAGCGAATGATTAGCACAAAGCGTAAACAATGCTTTGGGATTGCGTTCTTTGATTCTGGATTGTACGCCACCATAAACTCACTCCTATCATGGTTGCATCGTTATCATATCCTTGAGCCCTTACCTTCTTCGATCGTGTTACTCACTCGAATAAGCGCTACCTAACCAGAACTTATTTATTTAGGAAATTAAATTATGTTCGAAAGTAAATAAAAATTAATTTGCGATATATATTAAGATATAATATTTGTATGCAGGTAGATAGATGCTATGCTAGGTAGCTCTTTATTTATTGGTATGTCTTTGCGGAGTAATTCTTCTGTAAGACACAATCAGATACATCAAGAGAATACTTATTCTCTTGATGTGCGAGTGAGTTGTTGTTGCCACCCCTTGGTGCTTGGCACCCGGGGCGGAAGCCCCCACCGCCGCCCCCCCTTTACGCCGCCACTGACCACCACCATGTCGCAATGCACAACATGTAGTGTTAAGCCTTGGATATACTTAGGGACATAAGGAGCGGCATGTTGCGCAAAATGTCACTCAACAACTACTTACGTGGAATATCTCGAGACATATGTCGCAGAACATTTTGCAGGCTACACTAGTCACTAGTCAGTGCATATAGAAATGTCGCCCGAGGTTCTGGCGATTAGTGCTTCGTACATACGAGGATGCGTTTTTAAGTTCGCGGAATGAGGGATAAGGAGTAGAAATAAAAATCCAAATTTATTATTTTTCTGTTTCAATATATGTTTTCACCTGCTACCCTAATACATTTTTCGGATCTTTCAATTAACTTATGTATACCCTAAAAAAATGGTTTGTCTGTCTAAAAAATACGCCGAAACTGCTTCCTTCACTTCTCCACCACTTAAAAACTTTTTTCCCACGAAGTTCTTCTTTTAAGTTTGGAAATAGATAATTATCACTGGAGGCCAGGTCAGGACTATAGGGTGGGTGGGGCAAAATTTCGAAGCCCACCTTCTGCAGGGCAGCCACCGCAACATGGCACTTGTGAACAGGCGCGTTGTCGTGCAGAAAAAGGATTCCTTTGGTCAATTTTCCCCTTCTTTTTCCCTTTATGGCTTCCTTCAATTGATCTAGGATTGAAGCGTAGTAATTTCCGGTTATGGAGACACCTTTATCTTTATAATTAATCAATAGGATTCCTTCTGAGTCCCAAAAGACTGTCGCCATGATTTTCCCAGCCGATTGTGCCACCTTAAATTTCTTGGGTGGTGGTGTGCCTTTTTTATGTCATTGCATAGAGTCCTGTTTAGACTCAGGGTCATAATGGTGAACCCAAGTTTCATCACCAGTAACAATTCGGGCCAACATTCCATCTCTGTCTTCCATACAGAGATCCAAAAATGCACGAGAACACTCCACGCGCTGTTGCTTTTGAGGCGGCGTGAGCGTTCTAGGCTAGGCCATCTTGCGCTGACTTTATTCATGAAGAATTTTGAAAATGGTTGTATCTGACACTCCAACCATTTCTGCGAGCTGTTTTTTCTTTAGGCGGGCATCTTCTAATATTAATTTTTCGACTTTTTGAATAATTTCCGAAGTGGTCACCTTGATCGGCATTCGTGGCAGTGGGTCGTCTTCAAGTGACTCTCTGCCTCGTTTAAAAAGGGTATACCACTTATAAATCAGTTTTACTTGGACAAGTCTCCGTAAACGGATGACATCTCTTCCAGTATAGTCTGAACTGATTTTCCGCGTTTGGTAAGAAACTTTATAACGGCACGGAACTTGATTTTCTCCATATTTCAAAATTTCTTCTCGATTGACTTGTTTCGTTGACGATAACTCAAAGACTAATAATCTAATTACAATAAAACCCTGTGTTTATACTGAGTTGCGCAATTAGCACGTAATTCAGCGACATCCCCACCTACCCGCGAACTTAAAAACGTACCCTCGTAGTACTAATTTCGGGAGTGAAGTGTAAGCGAATGATAAGATGGTGGCTGCAGAATTTCTTACTGCAATGAGAAGAATTAATATTTTAAGTGATCTCCGAATGTCTGCCGGATCTTTTGTGAATTTTACTCGAACGTCAACATCTGATTTTGAAACTTTATTACAAATGATCGGACCTTCCATAGCTAAACAGGTTACAATACTAGTCGCATTCTTGCGCGTCCTCTCAGTTTCGTTCAGCTCTAGACTTACGTGCCGCGACTACTAAGTAACTCCGGTAACCTAATTTGCTAGGTAATTTCATTCAACAAAATCTGTCAAAATTACATTTCTTATCATCGTTGTGTCTGTCAAAGTCCGCTACTGAACCCAGGCCTCACCATAGATTGCCTCATAAGTGGGATATTTGCCACGTTCGGAATGCGGTTGGCAAACGCAGATTTTTACTTTCTAGCTGTTAATGGGAAGACACAGCTTTGTGTGCCGCTGTGTACACCGGTTGGCGGTGTAAGAATGTCCACGACCCTATAAATCGTCCCGTAGTTTCGTAAAGATAACAGAGGGAAAGCAACCATTTTTTCTTCATAACAAAATTAAGTTAAATAGCCGTATGGTGGCAAAAAAACTATGAAGATGACAGATAAAACCTAAACCAGCAATAAAACAGCTTCAAAGGTATGAGCCATTTGTTACGCTGCCATCAAACGATTGTGGCAAATTCCCTCCTTACTTTGAAACAATTTAGATATGGATAGTAATTAATTTTTCATTACATCACCTTACAGACACGAAGTACCCAATCGTAAACAAGGCTACTAATGCAGTTAGACTGGAAGGGCTTTTTTAATACAGTTGCTCAAAAAGTGACGTATAGCGTCGGGATGTGGGCTTATTACATACTCGAGCTTTTTCTTTACCTTTTTCGAACTCGTGCGTTCTCTTTCCCAACTGTCAAAATAATCTCTATTAGGGTGCGTACAGATCAAGTAACATGTTGTATAACTTTTGTTTTATAACACGTCCACATTATGTAGCATTGTTTTTCAACATTGCAACATATAACAATAATATACTACATTAGAATAACAATGTTATATGACATTGCAGTTTGTCGCTCGAGTTATATAATATTTGTGTCACGTTGTATAACATGTTTTATAACATTCAGCCTCAGTTTATTAACATGTTATATAATGTGTACGCACCTTTAGAAAGAAAAAACCAACCACAAATTATAAAGTTGTATGTACAAGAAAACCAACCACGAAGTTTTTACTAAAAAAATTCATAGAAGTGATTCATGCAAATATTTTTAAAAAGCTACTAATTTGTTTCAATATCACATTTAATTCAATGAGTTAGGTTAGGTTTAATTTCATCTCATTAAATTTCATTTTATATCAATAAAAAAATTCTACTGAAGACTTGGCTGTATAGGAATAGTTCCTTTGCCTACCCAGAATGGGTGAAGGAAAAAAATCTCTGCTTACTTTCTCTTATGGTTGGCGTGATTTTCCAAAAATGTTCTTTATTAAATTGTTTCATTTTTTCGCAACTGCATTAAAAATAGTTGTTCAGTACACGTGCGGAACCGTCATTGCAACTTGTTCCGACTGTCAACCATCACCTTCGGCTGCGCCTCGGCTCGGGTAGACATTTGTCGGAACTCTTTGCAATGACAGTATTTCCGCATATACTATTTACCAAAATTAAATATTTAACTCTAGGTAATAGGTTTAAAGAACTAAAACAAGCGCAAAATAGTTTTTATAATTTAATAAAAACACCAAATGATATCACACTGACTGGCAAAAAACCAATGTGATACCAAATGACGCAAAATCCAGGATATTAACGGTAAGATTTCTGGTATCTGGCACGAGCTCCTGGACCACCAAACTTCTTGGGCTCGCAGCGACGAGGATCGGCGACTAGCAAACTCCTGTCGTATTGGACAAGGGTGTCCTTAATTTCCTTCTTGGATGCTTCATCTACATCTGAAATTTATAAAGTAATAATTTAATGTTACTTATCATTTATTTAACGAAAGTAATGCATCTTAAATCCTGATACAAAAATTGTGCTAAATTTAAATTGGTAACAATCAATCTAGATTTAGATCACACACCGTTTCCCACACATATTCAGACCAACAAAGATAGGCTGTTGAAAAATGTATGCAGCACACATACATTTCAAGTGACGCCGAAACCGAGCCAAAACATATTATGCAAAATCAATTGTTACCAACAACATGATTTCATGTGCATATGTGTGCGTTCAGCAGTCTACTTTTACAGACTGTTAAAAAAGAAATACGTGTGTAAGCACATGTCACGTTATGCATTGTTTTGGCGTCACTTTAAATATATGGAGTGCTCCCTTTCTTTGTTACATGATAGACAAGTAAAGAATTATTCTTTAAACAGAATTTGTATCCATTATCCATAACATGCTGAATATGGGTCTACCACATAGATTGTCTCACAGGGGGGATATTTGCCATAGATGCAACTTTTGGCATTTGTATTAGTAACCAAAGCTTTTCTTAATTATTTTTAGTTATTGCCAATCTCCCTCTGTCACCTCTTACAACACCCACAGGATGATGTTGGGTAGTTGATTTTCTTACGCCGCTACTACAAGAATAATAATGCTATTAATATATTTAAATTATTTGGTCATTACTTAGTTCAGTCTGTTTCTACAATTTAAATTATGCCAAAAATTTATTTTCGTTTTCATTAATTCTGCTTTCACATTTCTTCTGCTTCATTAAACTTATGTTGGCAACTACCTTCCCTTTATATAAATGTAGTGTACACTTCAAACAAGCAAGGCATTGAGAGCACTTGCCGTTTGGTAAATGTCACAATTATTCTCCTTTCTCTGAAATGACTGACTAGTATAAAACAAGACAGCTTTGGAAAGAAAGGGTTATCATCAAACCAATAGTGTACAGGAAAAAAGCAGACCACAGTATGGTCAAAATTAATAGTTACTTGAGTAAAGAAACTTACATTTCTGGTAAAAGGCAATAAGAGCCTTTGAGATGGCCTGTCTGATAGCATAGACCTGTGCAACATGACCACCACCCTTCACTGTAACTCTGATGTCGACACCGGAGAATTTCTCCTGAAAACCAAAAAAAAATACAGGTTTAACAAAGTAAAAGTCACATGATATTTACCAAATATTAAATGAGTTGAAACTATAAATCAGAGTCCATGTTATACTTCACATCCGAAGATACTCAGGTTCGGAATAAGATTAAATCATCATGAGAATCCTACTAACTATTACAATTAAAAATCAGTATACAATCTGTGAAGATATTGCACAACATACATACAAAACAAAACATACAGTTGAATTGAGAACTTCCTCATTTTTGAAGTTGGTTAAAATAATTATGATAAAATGAAAATCCTGTCAATTTGAGCAAATTTGAATAGGAAATTAACATGCAATCTAGATAAAATCATTAGAAGCCTGAGTGCAGAGTGCCAAGTTAAAAATCAGATTTACGTTTTTGTTCCCCCTATTTCTGTATTCCTTATATAGCCCTTATAGTACAAGAAAATTAGCTTCAAACTCGTCAATTAGACCAAATAATTCATGTATTTTTGAAAGTTGGTACAGTTATTCCTTAATATGTCCAGATGAATTATACTAAAACTCCCCGAGAGAAGGACACAAGTCAGCGGTGGGGGAGGGGGGGAAGGGTCTCCTTTTTCAAGTTTTTTGCTTGTGACTCGAAAACTATTTATAATATTTCTTTAGTGACTTCTATATTAATTATCTACATTAAATTTCCTATAAATTATGTCAAAACATTTTTACTGTATGATCAACACTTTAGGAGATACAGAGTATTAAAGGTGATAAAAATAAGAAACAAAATCGTTATACTTTGACAAAGATGATAAATCGCGCCACAAAAATCGGAACATGTTCCTTTCGTTGTTTGCCTTTTGAAGTACGAATTGGCTCCCTACCACGGGCTTTATTCAATGGTGGCTTAATAAGGATCCAAAAAAAAAAGGATGATGTTTTATCAAAATCCGACACCAATGTAAAATTTGTAAACTAGTAAGACGGTTATTGATGGTGGCTTTCTTTTGTACCGTACCAAGTGGCAATTGGGCTCCTCTTACTCTATGTTATCAGTACCTAAATTATGTAAAATCTCAATACAGGCCACTTTCTACAGTCGTGTATGATAGATACAATGACATAAGAAACAGTACAACAACATCTGAACAAAGAAGGAGGGCGGTGAAATCGTCTGTTGATATAAACATCAATCTCATAATATTATTTGTGAAACCGGGAAGAGTGAAAGTGGAAACAAAAAATTTTTCCTCCCAAGAACTTCAAAAACATTCATTTTGTTGTTCTGTTCTCTTTCTGCATAGTTTCAGTGCGTGTGATACAACCACAGCTATTTACAGGAACAGCAAAACATCAATTATCAAGCTTTTTGAGCATGTGGACCCCACAGACCGATAGTCGTGATACTAGTATAAATTATAAATAGTTTTCGAATCACAAGCAAAAAAACTTGAAAAAGAGACCTTTCCCCCTCTCCCCCACTGCTGGCTTGTGTCCCTCCCTCGGGGACTTTTAGTATATTCATCTAGATACCTTAAGGAATAACTGTACCAACTTTAAAAATTCCAGGGTCTGATTTTCTTAATTTTCCCAGGCTATTAACAGTTCACAGTGCAGTTGCCTGCTTCATATTTTATACACTGCCATTTAAGTCAAGATACACCCATATTTTTGTACAAATCAGAATTAATTTATTTTTACAATAGGGTATTACACCCATTTTCAAATAGTGTTTAAATTGATCCTAGAGAGATAATGAACCGTTTTAACATTCCTCAACTCGGCAGAACAAAAATCAGGATTGCAGGCAATAAAATTTGCCACCATCAATGGATTTATCGTTGGTAGATTAGTGCTTTTGTGAATACATCTTCCATGATGCCATTTCAATAAAATATGGAATGGAAGTCAACAATTATGATGATAAATTGAAAAATTTCGAAATAAGGCAGAGCACATTAGCTTGTTTACTATAAAAAGTGACAGCACGACAAAATTTAATATGGCAGATAAAATTTTGGGAGATTTGAGGCACAGATTAAAAAAATATTATTGAAATTATTGTAAAATTTAAAAAGTATTTTTAATTTTTATAAATAGAAATCCACCTTTCTTATTTACTTTTTACAAAACCTATCATAAATATGATTTTTTTTTTGCATGGTTCATAATATTGTAGATATAAATATAATAATTACTAATTTCTTATAAATTAGATATGTTTATAGTATTCTGTGAGAGGGTGGTCCTTCCCCTGTCGAGGCGACCCATTCATATAGTTGACACAAAATATTATTAACATGTAATATCTATCAGTACTCTCATGGCTTAGCTTTCCATTGACTCCCGTCGAGTTGGGGGTTGATACGTATTTTTACAGAAAAGTTACACTATTATTAGCACACACACAAAGTTACAACATGCGGAAACGCGTAATTTTTGAGAAAAAAGTTATTGAAAATCAATTATTCTTGCATTGTGATTTCTTATATTTACGCGAACACTACACATTTAAATGAAACTAATTTTACGGATTTTATCGCGTATATTAACTTATTTTACATTCCCGACGTTTCAAGCACTTTACAGCACTCATGGTCACGGGGGGGACTTTAGTCAGACTTCAGTCCCCCCCGTGACCATGAGTGCTGTAAAGTGCTTGAAACGTCGGGAATGTAAAATAAGTTAATATACGCGATAAAATCCGTAAAATTAGTTTCATTTAAATGTATTCTTGCATTGTTTATATCTAATCCTACCATAAAACTGACGCCATTTTGTAATGTCATTGTCGTCAGTAGGAATGTAGATTCTTTCAGAGAAAGGTCGATTTTTAAATCGATTCAAATCGTAAGCTGATGTATCGATTCATAAAAAATAGATTTCTAAAATATCTATATTTTTTTATGTTTGCATTTATAATGTAAATATAATTCCATTTTATGAAAAACAAGAAAGATACCATAATAAATGATCTCTTATTGTATTTTGTTTTATTTTAACAGTACCAATTAGAGCTGATAACAAATAAAATAGGTTAGGTTCAACTTATGTCAAAGAACCGAATTGATTGACCCCGACTCCACCTGGTACGAGTCTGTCCTATGCCTAGAGTGGTTTTAAAGAGCCGGAGGCGCGTAGGGGGAGCAGCCTCCAAGGTGTAGAGGCTGCTCTTCCCGCAGCGCTGGAGACGTAGCAGTCTCAAAATAGACACAGAAATCCTTCTGAATCAGTCCCCCTATATTTTATGATGAAGGGGACTTTTTTCTCATAAAATGGATTTATATTTACATTATAAATGCAAACATGAAAAAAATGTAGATATTTTAGAAATCGATTTTTTGGGAATCGATACATCAGCTTACAATTCGAATCTATTTAAAAAATCGATATTTTTCGGAAAGACTCGATATCCCTACTGACAATAACAATAAAAAAATGGCATCAGTTTTATTGTAGGATTAGACATAAACAATGCAAGAATAATTGATTTTCAATAACTTTTTTCTCAAAAATTACACACTTCCACATAAGCACACACTAAAGTTACAAACTTTGTGTGTGGGCTTATAATAGTGTAACTTTTCTGTAAAAATACATATCAACCCCAACTCGATGGGAGTCAATGGAAAGTCGTACCACTCCCATTCCTATGCATGTAAATTGTTCATCACCCAAACTCACTCCTATTGATTTGGTATTGGATGAACTTGAAAGGAAAGTGAAGAATAATTGTCCATCAATCAAAGCACAGTTGTGTAACATTTACAATTAACATATTATTACTAATATTTAAATATATGGGTGTTAGTGGTGGGTACAAAAATATGTGGGTTGAAGACTATGCTTTTACAAGAAAGAATATGCTTTTCTGTCTATAGGCTATTATTAAGCTAAGTCAGTCTGCTATAATATTTGGCTGCATCAGAACTTCCATCATGTATATATGTCGATACATATGCATGCCGAATAGTAGTCGAGCACTGGCTTATGATAATTTTGAAAAAGTTCTTAAATTACAATTTGAGAATGATTGCTTCGTAAGCAAGCTGTTACTGTTACAGTAATCACATACAAAACAATAGCCTCTCACACATAACTAAATGTATTATTTTTACCTTGCCGAGCAGTAGGATGGGCTCCTGCAGTTTGTATTGAAGCAGACGGGGCTCAACCAGGTCCAATGGGCGGCCATTTACACGGAGAACTCCACGACCTCGTTTGCAGTAAGCCACTGCAGTAGCCGTTTTCTGCCATAATCATAAATTACAATTACCAATATATAAATTAATATTATAGATTTAATAGCCTTTGAGTATGAAAAAGCAAAGCCCAGGAGTCAATGGTAGTGCCTACTTAAACCTTGGAAAACTTTTTAAGTACACATAATTTATATTACATAAATGGTGTTGCATTAATTTAGAAAAACACAATGTTATTTTCATGTAACGCAAAATAAAAGAAATCCTAGGAGCCATTATATTCCCACTACCGATACGGTATGGTATAAGACGATAAGTACAGATACGCTTTATGAAAATACAATAATTCTAAGTGGTTGACAGTAAATTTACTAAATTCATCTTACACAATTATAGAAAAATCGATACATATCTTTAGGAATTAAATAGAAATACATGAAAAGGTTAACTGAATATTACAAACACGTGGACGCCACTCAAAACACTTACCTTCCGGCCGAAAACCTGGACGGCCTGAATAGGTTCACGTCGCGCCTGAAAATATGAAAAATGCGTATATAAATATAAATCTCATCTCAATTAATTGAAAAGCATATAAAATTATTGAAAGAATTATTTAACGCGCACCTCTTGCACTGCAGCCATTTTGACAGAGAAAGAATGAATTAGACCATAGACAAACTAAAATGTGTTAACAAAGAGTACATAATAACTACGTTTTACTTGTTTATCAAAAAGAATGAATGTTCAAATGAAAGGAGTCCAAAACTAGCTTTTTTTTTATTTGACTACTTTACCGTAATATTATGTTCGTAATCGTAATTCTTATGTGTCGTTAAATGTTAAGTCAAGAAAGATTCTCAGCAGAGATCATTCAAAAAGAAGCAACAAAAAATGTGTATATAAATATTAATCTTATCTCAGTACGGTACGGTACTTTAAGGATCACCAGCTGATTAGTCACCCCCAATACGGTTTTCGTCGGGGTCGATCAGCTGGTGATCTTCTGGTCTACCTGACTCATAGATGGGCGCAGGCAGTAGAGTCCAAGGGAGAGGCATTGACCGTTAGTTTGGACATTGCGAAGGCCTTCGATCGGGTTTGGCACAAAGCGCTTCTTTCGAAGCTCCCTTCCTATGGGCTTCCAGAGAAATTGTGCAATTGGATCACCAGCTTCCTTGCAGATCGGAGCATCAAGGTCGTAGTAGACGGTGCATGCTCCGACTACAAGCCTATTAACTCTGGTGTTCCACAAGGCTGTCTGCTATCACCAACGCTGTTTCTTCTGCATATCAATTATATGTTCCTAACTGGTAACATTCATTGCTATGCGGATGACAGCACTGGTGATGCTTTATACACCAGCCGTGCCAATATTTCTCGGGAAAACGTCGCTGAGTACCGGAACAAACTTGTGTCTGAAGTCGAGTTTTTGCTGAACAAAGTTTCGGATTGGGGGCGACTAAATTTAGTCCAGTTTAATCCTCAGAAGACACAAGTTTGCGCGTTTACAGCTAAAAAGAACCCCTTTGTCGTATCTCCTCAGTTTCAAGGCACTTCCCTTCTTGCCTCAGCCAGTATCGGAATCCTCGGAGTCGACATAGAGAGTGACGTGCAGTTTCGTGGTCACTTGGAAGAGAAGGCCAAATTGGCCTCTAAAAGCTTGGCGTGCTCAGCAGAGCGGGACAGTATTTCATGCCGGCACACCGCCTGCAACTTTATAAGGCGCAGATTCGGCCTCACATGGAATACTGTCCCCATCTCTGGGCAGGGTCGACGACCGAGTCCTTTCCGATCGGCTCGATTCATTGGCACTGCGAAGAGATGTTGCATCCCTTTGCATTTTCTTTCAAATCTACCACGGGGAGTGCTCTGAGGAATTGTTCGGATTAATCCCAGCCGCCAAATTTCACGAACGCACATCGCGGCAGAACTCCCGATACCATCCACACCATCTGAATGATTGGCGGCCCACCCCTGTGCGATTTAGAAGATGTTTTCTTCCTCGCACGACTTCCTTGTGGAATCGATTACCATCAGCGATTTTTCCGGATCAATACGACTTAGGGACCTTCAAGAAGAGAGCCTACTCCTTTCTAAAAGGCCGGCAACGCATCTGCAATTCCCCTGGCGTTGCGGTTGTTCATGGGCGGCGGTAGTAACTTACCATCACGTGAGCCGCATGCTCGTTTGCCCCCTCTCCTATAAAAAAAATCTCAATTAATTACAAATCACATAAAATTACTGAAAGAATTATTTTACACGCACCTCTTGCACTGTAGCTATTTTGACAGAGAAAGAATGAATTAGACCATAGACAAACTAAATTGTCTTTACAAAGAGTATATATAATATAATAATGAAAGCAATGAAAAGTATGAAAGCAGGTAAGGCAGCCGGTTATGATAGAGTATCTCTCGAAATGCTAAGGGCTGGAGAAGGAGTGGTGGCAGACCTGCTGTACACCTTGTTTAATTTATGTTGGGAACTTAAGCGGGTACCGGGAGACTGGTGCAAAGCCGTGATAGTCCCAATATATTTATTTATTTATTTATTTATTTATTAGAAAACTACGGCATGATTACAATAATAGTATACAACCTTTACTTAGTTTTAAATTAAAGCTAATTACAGTTTTCTTACTTAAAAATCATAACTTAAGAGTACGAGCAGAAAGAGTAATTTAAAAATATGTATATATATATATATATACATAATGTGTGTGTATATGCGTTTGTGAGAGAGAGAGTGTGTGTGTCTGTGTGTGTGGAGGTATGTGTGTGTAAAATGCTTTAGTATTATATAAATTAACATGCTATATTGATGTTACATAAGCTTTTTGATGACGACTTGTTTAAAACCATATGTGGTCGAATTAAAGGGATCTATATCAGAAAATTTCGTGTTGTAATTATGTAGTATCCTAGACAGAACTGAGTTTGATGAATAACTGGTACGCGACAAAGGTACATGGAATAAACGTTTATTTGTATGACGAGTGCGCTTTGAAGGTACATTAAGCGATATCATCGATAGCAGCTCCGGAGAATCTATTTGACCTGTGAGCAATATATGCAAAAATAACATATCGAGCAACTCGCGCCGATCTCTTAATGGTAGAAATCCATAAAAACGACAGCTATCTTCGTAGATAACACAATTTGGACTCATTTTGAAATTTAGGTATTTAATGAATTTTTTCTGGATGGATTCAATGGCATCAATATGCTTTGCGTACTGTGGAGACCATACACAGCTCGCATATACGAGTAAGCTCCTTACATATGCAAAGTAAATGGCGTTTATGCACTTGATATTACTGAAAGGCTTGCACACTCTAAATACAAAACCTAGCATTTTATATGATCTTTCTGTTATGCAGTTTATATGGTCCACCATTGTGAGCTTGGAATCCAAAATTACTCCTAAATCCCTAACCCTACAAGATTTGTGTAGGGGAATAATATTTATTGTATATTGAAATAATACCGGATTTTTTTTACGTGTAAAGGTTATTTGATTACACTTCTCCACATTGATGCTTATTCTATTAATGTTATAATATTTTGCTAAACTGTCTAAGTCATTTTGAAGGAGTATACAATCTTCAATTTTTCTTACGTTACAGTAAACTTTTTTGTCGTCAGCAAACATTAGAAATTTAGAATGCCTAAGATATGAATGTATATCAAATAGATAAGCATTGTAGAGGAGTGGGCCTAAATGAGAACCTTGTGGTACTCCAGATTTTATAGTTATAAAGTCTGATCTGCACCCGCCAACAATTGTTGCTTGTCTCCTATTAGATATATATGATTTTATCCAGCGGTGTAAGTCTCCGTTGATACCTAATACCTGTAATTTAAGCAACAAGATAACGTGATCCACTCTGTCGAAGGCCTTTTCAAAATCTGTATAGATCACGTCAACCTGTGCACCTACATCCATGCTGTTTAATATGTCGTTGGTAAAAATGCTAAGATTAGTAGTAGTAGAACGATTGCTCAAAAATCCATGTTGTTTATTAGGAATTGCTCGTGCTACAATTGGATATAAATTGGCATATAAAATTTTCTCCAATAACTTCCCCAATGTATTTAGGATAGAGATGGGACGATAATGGTCGATTTTAGTTTTAGTGCCTTTTTTATGGATAGGAATGATGTGCGCTTCTTTCCATTTGGATGGAAAAACGCCTTCACTTAAAGATTTATTAAATAATATGGTTAGTGGCAAAGTAAGTTTATCAGCACAGTTTTTAAAGAAAATAGGGGGTATTTTGTCGCTGCCTGGCCCTTTACAACTCTCTAAATTTTTTAAAGACTTTAACACCTCTTCTTTCGTAATTGTTAACGAGTTCAAAGACTCAGCATTATTATTAACTGCAGTTGTGGAGAAAAAATTGTATGATGGGGCTGGATCTGTAAATACACTTTCGAAGTATTCATTAAACCCTTTACAGATTTCTTCATCTGTTGTATATTTATTTGTGCCTAAATGAAGAGTTTTTGGATAACCAGTAGTTTTTAAACGTTTAGATTTAATATACGTCCATAACAGTTTGGGAGTCTTTATAATACCTTCTTGCATTTTCTTTATGTAGAAATTATAACACTCCTTTTGTATCTTGTGTTGCCTATTTCTCAGTAACCTGAACTCATCATAATCACGTGGATTTTTATATTTTTTCCACCTGCGGTGCACCGAACTTTTTTCTTTAATAACGGCTATTAGTGCTTTTGAAAACCATACCGGGTAGTTATATCGTCTTGATAACATGTACTTTGGGACGAATTTTTCTATGATTTTGTATAATTCATTATATAATATATCGACGCTTTCTTCGGTTGATTTATTACTAAATATGAATACCCAATCAATATTACCTAATTCATTATTTATGCTTTCATAGTCCCCTTTATAGAAGTTATGCCTAATTTGTGGTTTAGATTTTCGATCAGAAACTAGAATTTCAGAAGCATCTACTTCTATTGCTGGATGAAAATGATCTTCTAATAGTAAGGGTGTATGTGGATCGGAAGTCATTAGGTGTGTATTACTGATTAATAAATTTAATATATGATTGCTACTATTACTTTTCAAATTGTATTGACTAAGACCTAAAAATTTCAAGTTATTTATAAAGTTACTGGAAGCAGTTTGAATATCACAGGTACCTAAGCGTGAGTGTACAGGTCCTGTTAATGTCCAGTTAATATTTGGTAAATTAAAATCGCCAGCTAAGGTAATATAATCCTGTGGGTGGGCAGACATAACCGCAGAGAGCGAATCTTGTACTAGAGTCAATTGATAAGATTGCATTGGACCGCTAGGTATGTATACAACTCCAACGTGGAGGGCATAACGCTGCGTATTGCTCAGTGTACGAGCTGCAATACTTATCCATACAAGTTCTACGCCATCCCTACTAAACTCTAATCTTTCTTGAGGCTGGTAGAGGCGTTTTGCACATATCATTACTCCCCCTCCAATGACTTTACCTGATGCATTGCTATTGCGATCGCACCTAAATGCTGCATACCGATTATCACATATTTCGTTTGATGAAAAACTTTCGTTTAGCCATGTCTCTGTTAGTAAAATTAAATCATAATCATTCAGTAATATATTTTGGTTTAGTTTGT